AATCAGTTATTGTGAACAACTTTATAAAAAAACTAAAGAATAAAAAAACTTTAAAGGAAACCATCGTACATAAAAAAAAAAAGAAACCACCGTATTAACAACCAAAAGGAGAGATAGAGTAAGAGTCAATGTATCTGCACATTGGCAGGGGTTGGGGGTTGAAGGTGGGTGGTGGCGGGAGAGGTACTGGGAACATTGGTGGTGAAGACGTGCACGGATGCAGGAATGGGTCACTTGATCACTTCACTTCCCGTTATAGTCTATTTGCTCAAGCGGGCGCCAGTAACGTCTCCATTTGTTCCTGTCGCGTGCTAGTGTAGCTCAATGAGGTCTGTTCGTTCTAGGAACATGAAGAGCCTCAAACCGATCGTTCACAATCTGGATAAAGAAGTCTGACCACCTGGTAGGTCGGCAGCCACATGGTCTTTTGACGTTCCTTGGAATCCAGTCGGTAATGACTCTAGTCCAGCGGTCCTCTCTAAATCTCATTACGTGTCCAACCCATCTGATCTTTGACACCTTGGCAAATGAGACAGCATCCCTGATTCTTGATCATCAATGGGAGGTCGGAACTCCGGATTCTTTCTCTCATTTGAGTGAAACGTGATACTTCAAGCATAGCTCTTTCAAGTCCTCTTTGGGAGACCCAAATAGCGTTCTCATCCTGTTTGCATAGGGCCCAAGTCTCTGAGGCATATGTTAATGCAGGAAGAACAGTGGAATCGAAGAGATGTGCCAGGAGCCAGAGGCTCTTTGTCCTCTTAGCTATTTCTTGGACGCGTTTGAAGACGTTCCAAGCCGCTCTCTTCCTCATGCGCAACTCAGGTGCCAAATCATTCATCATGTTGATTTCTTGACTTTAGTACACATAACTGTTGCATTCGGAGACAATTTTTCCGTTGAGAGTGAATGGAGCGTCAGAAACAAGGCTGTTTTTCATAAACGTTGTGTTCCTAAGATTCAACTGTAGTACGATCTTTCCACACTCACGGTCGAAGTCGGCCAGCATTTGTGCCGCTTGGCTAATGTTTGGTGTTATTAGAACAATGTCATCAGCAAAGCAGAGGTGGTGTAGTTGCTGACTACCTATCTTCACTCCCATTCCTTCCCATTCCAGTCGTCACATGATGTTCTCAAGGGTGGAACTGAAGCGTTTTGGAGAAATGGTATCACTCTGCCAAACCCCTCTCTTGACATCAATGATTACTTCTTTGTAGAATGGTGAGATCCTGGTAGTGAATCCGTAATACAGCTCACGCAGGATGCTGATGTATTGAGTTTGAATGCCCTGATTGACTAGGGCTTCAATGACCGCTTCCGTCTCAACAGAATCAAAGGCCTTCTTTAAATCAATGAACATTAGACAGAGTGGCATCTTGAACTCCCAGGAAACCTTAATGAGCTTGGTTATCATGTGGATATGGCCAATGGTGTTGAATCCTTTGTGGAACCCGGCTTGCTCGCATGGTTGTCCTTCATCTAGTGTTCTGCCAATCCTTTTCAGGATGACTCAAGTGAACAGCTTGTGGATGACAGACAATAGGCAGATTGGGCGATAGTTGCCAATGTCGTAGATGTCTCCCTTCTCGTACAGTAGTACAGTCCTGCTGGTTTTCCATTGGAATGGAACCTTGCATTCAGACATTCAGACAGGTAGCATGTGAAGAGCCGAGCCAACGTATTAATGAATACTGACGGCAGTTTCTTCAGGTGTTCAGGTCTGACATTGTCTGGGCCGGGTGATGTTCATTTCTTTTCCTTTTTTTTTTATTAGTGAAACACCATGAGGTACAGTTATAGACTTATAAATTTTTGTGCTTAGGTTTCAGTTATAAAGTGATCAAGTACCCATCCCTCCACCAGTGCCCATCCTCCACCACCACGGGTCCCAGCATCCATCTCACCCCCCATGCCCCCCTTCCCACCCTGCCTCTGTGGCAGGGCATTCCCCTTTGTTCTCTCTCTCTTTTTTTTGGGTACTGTGTTTTGCTCTCTTCTTTTGGGTACTTGTTTCGCAAGACAGGCATTGAGTGGCAATCATGTTTTGTCTATAGACTACTTTTAGCATGCTTCTCCCACCCTGGGAGGGTCCTCGCAGCACCCTTTATTTGGTGCTCTCTTCTCTATCTGAGCTTCCCTTTCACCTAGCACGTGTGGCTGGCCTTCAAATCATGGAGTTGTTCGTTTCTTAACTGACGAAATGGCGTGTCGGATTTCAAAAGGGAGAACATTGGGAATGACATTTCCATCCTGTGGAATTTGGTATGTGGGCAGGTGGACATGACTATCAAAAAGATATGAGTAGAAGTCATGGATAATCTTCTCCATTGCCCTTCTGGAAGATGTGATAGATCCATCAGGACATCAGAGGGCAGTCATCTTGGTTTTAAGTTAGCAAAGGACAGACAGGCAGGTGTTACGAATACTTTTCCCGGTTTCTGCCGCATCTACCAGCACTTCTGCTCTTCTCTCTTTGAGGTCTTCCTTTATCGCATCTCTACACTGCTTTGCGAGCTCGGATGTTCACTTGCGGTTGCCTGAGGCATGCACCAAACCACGTTGGTGAATAAGCTCAAGAGTTTTCGAAGACAGGCGTTTTTTTGTGGCTATCTCTCTCTTGGCGTTCCTCGAACAATCATGGAGGTGCTGAACCAGTCTATCATATTCCTCATCAATGTTGTCAACAACGGCATCTTCCCAAGTTTCCGCAATATGTTCATTAATTATGTGGAAATACCTTCATGCCTATCATGTTTATGAACATTAGAATTCTTCAGTTTCAAATGTGATAATTGTCCAAATTCAATGGCCTGGCCATGTTAGAAGTAATTCTAATTCTGGTGCCTGAGCAGTGAGTCGTCCACTGATCTGCTAAGTTAATTCAAATGTCCTTATTCATATTTTCAGTTTCCCTACAAACTGAGCTATGAATCTCAGGATCGACAGACAAAATGCTCACTCTTTCTTCCTCCCTGGATGCTCCCAGTAGATAGCATATGCTATCTATGATAGATAGGTATATAGCTAGATAGATAGGTATATAGCTAGCTAGATAGATAGATAGATATAGTAGATGCTCCCAGAAGATCACAGCCCCTGAGCCCTTTGATCTGAATTGGCCCTGGGTTCCTCTTAGGACTTCCCAGCCCTGCTCAGAATGACCAGGACTGCACAGAATGACCACCAGGGGACAGCAGAGAATCATGAGGTCCAATGGAGCTGGGGTGGGTCAGAGCAACAGAGGGTCTAACTCAGTAGATTGGGAATGTCCAGGGAGTTGGTGTTTAGTAACAAGCCTCATACCTAAGAAAAAGGTATTTATTTTTCTAGCGCCTGACACTGATGAGCATATTTTTCATTTTCTTTCATTCCCTTTTTTTTGCTTTTTGGGTCCCACCAGACGATGCTCAGAGGTTACTCCTGTCTTTACAGTCAGGAATTACTCCTGGCGGTGCTCAGGGGACCATATGAGATGCTGAGAATCGAATCTGGGTCAGCCAAGTGCAAGGCAAATACCCTACCCGCTAAACTATCACTCAACCCTTCTTTCTTTCTTTCTTTCTTTCTTCTCTTTCTTTTTTCTTTATTTATTTCTCTTTCTTTCTTTTATTCTTTATTTAGTTCTTTCTTTCTTTTTTCTTTTCTTCCACTTACAGAAATCGCCAATTTCTCTGAAAAAATGATATAGACTCTTAAGACATCCCCACAAATAAATTCTGATCACTGGGGTCACTGTCCATAAAGTTTAGTCTGACTCCTTTAGAATCTGAACTTTGTTGTTGTGTGGCAAATGTCAGGGCCTGCAAGGTAAGGGGGATGCGGTACATGGGGAACTGGGGAACTGTGATGCATTCTAAAGAGGCCCTGAGGAACTGTGAGGCTGATGAAACACTAGAAGGGTTCTGTGGGGAATCCAGAGCTGTCCTCAGTGATGCTCAGTGCAGGAATACATTGTGCTGGGAATCTAAGCAGAATTGTTTTCAAACAGGGCATCTAGGATATAAGTGTGTGTATGTGTGTGTGTCTGTGTGTGTGTGTGTGTGTGTGTGTGTGTGTATTAGTGCACATGCCATACCTGTCTATACTCAAGAGTTCTGACTTTTCATTCTTGCATTGTTCCTGATGGAGTCTGGGGACAGTATTTGGTGACAGGGATCAAACCTGGGCTTTCTGTGCACATGGAAGTACCTTCCCTGCTATATTATCTCTCCAGCAACAGTATCTGAAATATTTTTTGTCCAGAAAATGGTCACGGTCACGGTCCTCCCATTCTTCATCGATTTCCTTGTGGAGGCCCAGTAAGGTCTCCTTCGTGAGAGTTATTGTTACTGTGTTTGACATATCAGTATGTCACGCGTAGCTTGCCAGGCTCTGCCGTGCAGGCGAAATACTCTCGGTAGCTTGCCAGGCTCTCTGAGAGGGGCGGAGGAATCAAACTCGGGTTGGCCATGTTGGCTGCATGTAAGACAAAAGCCCTACCCGCTGTGCTATTGCTCCAGCCCTGTCCAGAAAATATTTGCTATTTAGTCTGTTAAACATTTTCATCTCCATTGGAATCTGGTAACAAGAAAGATCCACTATCATTTATTTATTTAAATCAAGTAATAAAGGTAATTTTTATTATTTTATAAATTTTTCCAAATCTGAAGGAAACCAACACTAAAAATCTTTTTAATAAAATCCTTGTAATTTACGCCAATATTTCATACCATATATCAATTTATTTATTCTGAAAACTTATTGTGTTAATGCCCTAGACACCACCTAACTACACAAAATTCCCATAAGCCACTGAGAAACAAAAATTGTCAGGGAGATGCCACTAAGCAGCAGGTGGGCACTAAAAAACCAGCTCCGCCCTCCCTGTGTCCCTTGGGTTTGGGCCCTTTTCAGCAGTCACAGACCCCAAGCAGCAGCTCTGAGCCTGGCTGATTTGCATAGCCAGCAGCTCTCTCCCTGAGGGGATAAGAAGGGACCAGGAGAAGTTCAGCCTCAGGTGCCAGGATCCCAGCCCCTCACCATGGCCTGGACCCCGCTCCTCCTGGGCCTCCTGGCTCACTGCACAGGTGACGTGTCCAGGCTTACAGCAGCCCCAGGGCCATGCTTCGTGTCATCCTTGTCCTTGACTGAGCTAAGCAGGGCACTGGTGTAAAGTGCCTATCACCCTGATAGACGGTGGGAGTGTGGGAGGTGGGGTCCCACAGTATTACTTCAGGTTATGAACATGGGGATCTCGGCAGAACTGAGCTTCCTCCTTACCTGACCTCTCCTTCTCTCTTGCAGGTTCTGTGTCTTCCTATGAGCTGAATCAGCCGCCTTCATTTTCTGTGAACCCGGGAGGGGAGGCCAAGATGACCTGTAGGGGAAACAACATTGGAAGCAAATATGTTCACTGGTACCAGCAGAAGCCAGGCCAAGCCCCTGTGCAGGTCATGTATGATAACAACAAACGACCCTCAGGGATCCCTGACCGCTTCTCTGGCTCCAACTCTGGGAACACGGCCACGCTGACCATTAGCGGTGTGCGCACTGAGGATGAGGCCGACTATTACTGTCATTTGTGGGACAGTGGTGCTCACAGTAACACAGACAGATGGGGAAGTGAGACACAAACCTCTGCCCATCTGTGTCACAGTCACCTCAGGCCAGGAACCGGGTAAACCCAGGAATGAGCTCATGTAATCCTGAACCTAAATGGGAGATTCAAGGGTCCCCTCTCCTTCCAGCCCTGCAGTCACACTCCACACAGGAGCCACCAGGAATGAATTTCGGTAGAAAACAGGGTAGATTTATTACAACTGTGTACTACTGTACAAGAAGGCACTATTGGCGGACTAACATGGAGGGAGTCACATTGCTGCTGGGATTGGTGTTTTAACCTAGTAGGGCACAGTCACATAGTAGGGCCTTTGGGATGTGAGTGTCCATGCCACATCAGTGCTAAGAGCAGCTTTTTTACCTGTCTTAACACCTTTTGGCTGGGTGGAGAGAGAATACAGTAAGAAGATATCAGCCCAACTAGGAGTGATCCTTGAGTGCAGAGCTACAATTAAGCTCTGAGCACTCCCAAGTGTGGCCTCAGAGGGAAACAAAAAGTCAAGGGAACCAGATATATACCCTGGAGAACAGAGCCAGAAGTCACCTCTGAACACCACTGAGTGTGCTCCTCAACAAATAGCAGAGAATCCCTTTCAGTGGAAAGTTAGTTTCCATAAACCCACAAGACAAAAAGCTTTTGTTTTGTTCATCATTTGACAGGTCAAGATTGAGCATGAAAATATATTCTTGTTTTTAGCAACCACTAGGGAGCAGCAGAAACAGTGATCTCCTGACTCTTCAAATGCAAAATCCACATGAGATGGGGTGGACATGATCAGCACAAGTCTATATTCAGACTCAATGAAAAGATGTCATCATTTTCTACCCTACCATCATTAGCAGTGATGTGCAGGTTTGATGAATGCAGTCTGCTGATCTAGTATGCTTGTTGCTCTGCCAAGGGTTCAGCCATGTTTATTCCATCTGCTAACCCTCTCTCAATGTCCAAAAACATTATTCTTCGCATTATGGGAGAGCTTGCTGCCTACCAGCTGCTCCCCCTTCCTCGCATAATGAATTTGGTTGTCTAAAGTAAATCAAACAGGTTTGGACTTGATGGATTGGGAGAGAGGCAACACAGAGCCAGCAGTGGTCACGGAATACTCCTGGCTCTGTATTCAGGAATCACTCCTATTGGGACTTGGGGAACGTATGGAGTGCTGGGGATCAATCCCAGATTGGCTGGGTACCTACCCGATTTACTACCTCTTTAACCCCTGAACTTCGTAAAATTTCTCACGTAACAGAAAGCACTTTACTGTATTAAGTGCCCACTTGAAGCATTTTTAAAGCATGGAGATTCCATCATTCATGCACTCATTTCTTTGGAATATTGCACAGAAACTGAAAGTGCCCCTCAGTGCCCTTGGGATACTGAGGCACATTACTGTGAACAGTAACAGGAGTTCACACTAGAACGGAAACTAACAGTCTCTCAAGGACACCATATTTTCTTGGCAAGTCGTGATATTATTTGGGCTCTGCTCCTGAGGAGCATGATCTGGGCCCATCCAATCTACGTCTGGTGATAGCACCCGTGGAACAGGCTCCACTGCAGACATGTTCACCTCCCCAATGTATCTGAGCAGGTCGGCCCAGAAAAATTACAGAGCAGGACATAGGCTGGTTGGTCTCAATTGCAGTTTATTCCAAGCTCATCTCCATTCTCCTCTGATTCTCCCTCTGCCTCTGCCTCATTCTCCATTCTACTTCATTCTCCTTCTTGATCCCACTTCAATCTCCTTCTGGCTCCCCCAGCCCACTCTTACAGTTCAGTTAAATCCCAAGACATGAGGTATTGGGGCTTATACAGGGGTGTGGTCACAATCAATAGGGGTAACGTGCTTCCCTCAGGGAAGCTGTTTCTAGTAGTTTCTCATTCAACAGGACAATCCACCCAGAGCAGAATCTCGTGAGTGTGTTTCTCCTCTCCTTAGTCCAACAAACATATAAACGTTCATAATATTAATCATTTTGTGTGGACACTGTAATAAATACATTGAGCTTATAGGATTGCTCTCCTCGGGTCATCACGCTATAGATCTCAGACTATATTGCTCAGGCCAGATTAGTCTTTCCTAACCCTAACAGGGTCCTAATCTCATCGTTACGTTTTGGATCATGACAGCATTTGTCCATGACCATGCTCTTAACTTATATTTGAGTATTGTGGCATTTTGGTCTTGCCCATTTCAGTGCCAGGGTAGCTAACAGCTTGTCCTGGGTCAATCCAGTCCCTCGTCAGGACCCTGCTTTTGAGATGCTAGGAACTAATGGCAACTGAGGCCTAAGTCAAGAAAGCAGATGCCCGGGACTGAATATTATATGGAGTCAATTAACTCCGAAGTTACAAAACCATAATATTAACTGTCTTCCTGTGTCTATACAAAAAGGACATTGTTTACAAAGACGTAAGGAGAGGAGAAACGCAATACATGAATACAAGTCAAGTGTCCTAGAAGAATCTGACCTTACAAGTTAACAGAGTCCGATTAGGGGAAAATGTGACAGACCTGTTGGCGAAGAGAGCACAGAGAAGTTACAGATAAGCGCAGAGGAATGGGAGTGAGTTGGGAGCACTGTGATGGATCCAACCCGATAAACCTAAGCTCCCTTTGGCAAGAACGAAAGGACAAACCAATGTTATCCTACAAGGATTATTCATAATAGGCAACACAAAGGAAATTATTATGTTCTGCTTTTGTGATCTGGGTAAAATAAGTTGAAATATTATGGTGGGAAGGTGTACTGTAGGTGGGATTGGTGGTGGAAATTTGAATGTAATCAATTATTGTGAACAACATCATAAAAATAAAATAAAAATTTTAAAGTAAAAAAATAGAAAGAAACTATGATGCAGCTACATAATGGAAAACTATATGGCTGTTAGCAAAACAAAGTCATAAAATTTTCTGAGACATGGATAGACCTGGAGAGTATCATGCTGACTCAATCAGACATGGGAACACAGACAAACATACAACAATGGCACTAGCTTGGGGATGTAAAAAGTCAAAAACAATAATATAATGTGTGAATAATACCCAAAGACATAGAATAAGAGCCAGGAGAAATGGCTCATGGAATAAAGCGTGCCACTAAAAGGGACAGGAGTGAAGCTGAACAGAGAAGGGACCACTTTGACAATGATAGTTGGAAATGATCACTCTGAACCAAAACTGAGTGCTGAAAGGAGAGCAAGAGAAATGCACAATACCTTTTCACTAAGAGTATTGCAAACCACAGTGTCTAAAAAAAATGAGACAGCAGACAGACAGACAAACAGAGAAAAAGTGTCTGGTATAAAACAGCTTTGGAGGAAAGGTGGAGAAGGCGTGCAGGAGGGAAACTGGGGACATTGGTGGTGGAAACATGCACTGATGAAAGGATGGGTGTTGGAACATTGTACGACTGAAACTCAATCATGAGTGATTTTGTAACTACATATCTCACTATATTTTATATTTATTTTATAAATTTGTTTCATCCTCAGTAGTACTACAGCTGCATTTGAATGATTGTTCATCTATTACGTGAACATTACTTCATGACTCTCACGTACATCAAAATTAGTAAGCTTCAGTAACAAATGTGAAAACTGTCCAAACTCAGTGGCCAGTCCATGATAGACATAACCCTAATTCTGGTGCCTGAGCAGTCGGTCGTCTCATCAATTCACTTTAATTCAATTCAATTCAATTCAATTCTATCTGTCACTGTCACTGTCCTCCCATTGTTCATCAATTTGCTCGAGCGGGCCCAATAACGTCTCCATTTTGAGACTTGTTGTTACTGTGTTTGCCATATCGAATACCTCACTGGTAGCGGCCAGGCTTTGCGGTGCAGGCGAGATACTCTCAGTAGTTCACCGGGCTCTCCGAGAGGGGCGGAGAAATCAAATCCGGCTCTGCAGGGCTGGCTGTGCACAAGGCAAACACCCTACTGCTGTGCTATCGCTCCAGCCCAATTCAATTCAGTAAGTGTCCTTATTCATACTTTCAATTTCCCTGTAAACTGAGCCTATGAAACCCAGGATCCATAGAGAAAAATGGTCTCTCCTCCTTCCTGGGTGCTCCCAGTAGAGAGTGACTCAGTCCCTTGCCCTGTGATCTGAATCTCCCCTGACTTTCTGGAAGGACTTCCCAGTCCCTCCCACTTCACAGAATGACCACGAGGGGGCAGCAGAGAATCATGGGGTCCAATGCAGCTGGGGTGTGTCAGGACAACAGGGGGGTGTAACTCAGTAGTGATGTCCAGGGAGCTGGTGTTTAGTTACCAACATCATACCTAAGAAAAAGTTACTGACAGCACACAGCCGCAGAGAAGAAGGGCCACGTGGAGGGCTGGCTCCACAGCTCCAGGAGAATGACACCAGGTTCCAAAAAGAGCCAAGATCACCGGGAAGTCCCAGATGGGGTCGGTGCCGCATCCCGCCTCCCCCAGATGGAACCCCGGTGACCAGAAGCCTCTATAAGCATAGCTCGAGTATGCGGGAAGTAGGACTTTTCCTCCAAACCGCGCGACCGCGTAAGCAGCCGCGCGACATCTCCATATATACAAAGTGATCAATGGGAAGTAAACCACCCAATGTTTCTCCCTGAAAATCAGAGTTAAGCTTGGAGCAGAAAAGTGAACGGACTATGCGTTAATCCAGGCCATCATGTCTGCCCGGAGGGGAAAGGGTGTTGCCCCATTCGCCCTCTCCTCTCTGGAAGGAAAGATGGCGGCCGCATGGGAGCCTTGTGGACAGCAGGTATGAGCTGGGGGTGTGGAGGCGACTAAAACCTCATGGGAAGGGGGGCGTTCCCGGCTTGTCCTTCACGCCCTACCGAGGTCACCAGTTGCCCCCCACGAGCAACTCTCCAAGAACGGCCAAGGCCCCAGAAGCACAAGGACTTAATGCAGAACCCAGCAGCTTGGAGCAGAAAAGTGAACAGACTATGCATTAATCCAGGCCATCATGTCTGCCCGGA